ATTAAAAAAAAAAAGAAAGACAAGACCCTACAGGTTGTCTGAAATTTGCAGTAGACAAGTCTCAAAACCAGTAGATCCAATTCGTCACCAAACCAATCACCAATGTTTCATTATTCCAGATGACCACGCTTACAGCATCAGTTTTACCCATAAACAATACGTTTTGGTTGTAGTGTCCCTTAGCAAAATTTTGGCAATTATGACATTAAAGGATAAAAAATAAACACACAAATACTTTATAGTTTACAAGTTTTTATCACATGATTTATTGTGGTTTTATGTAAAAATATAAACTTTTATTTTCTAGAAAATAGACAAGAATTTTAAAGCAGAAAGCACTTTGATGCCTTAGAAAAATAATTAGATTTTTGATTTAAAGCACAATAATTGTTACATAACAAAATCATCATACATCTGACGCATGATTCTAAAATTCATATTTAGATAGATATTTGATGCAGCAGTCTTGATTTTGAGATTGAAAAAAAACAAGTATTGATAGGAATTTTCCATAACACCATGGATTTCATATGTGGACAAATATTGGTATGTACTGGAAATGGTCACATTTTCTATCTGTGTCAAGGCAATGCGTAATATGTTAGGACTATGCAAACACCAAATAGCACATGGTGTGTGGAGATACTCTACAACAGGAATTAAGGTTGTCTTAACATTTCTTAGGGGTCTTATGTATCAAGCTGTTTTCCATGTATAAAACGTTACAGTATACTATGAATAATTATGCAACATGTCTAACTAGGTAATACTAGATTTCTGTGCCAGTGTAATTAATTGTCGAGAATCCCATTAGAGACAGGGAATATTTTTTTTCCCTCCAGGGCAGCTAGAAACCCAGATTGATTTAAACCACTAATGTACCCAGATGCAAAGATCTCCTTATTGCCTCCATTGCTATGTAAGGTTGTCTAAAGAGAGCTGAACTTAAAGGAGAACTATGGGGTTAAGGCTTTTCCCCATAGTTCTCCTTAGGGTAACGGGAAGACACAAACTAGCGTCCTCCCGTCACCCTAGGCTCAGTATACCGTGAGCTGCTGCTCGCGGTATACTGAGACGCCGCAGCTGAAGCGGATCCCGACAATTGTGCCGGGATCCGCCCAGCTGCGTGACTGACAGCTGGCTCTGCCTATCTAGAGGCAGAGCCAGCTGTACACGCCCCCTCCCCCGTCCGTTCCGCCAGTCAGCGCTGGTGGATCGGAGCGGGGAGGGGGGAATCCAGCCCCTCCCCTGTGACGGCAGAAAGCCGTGACAGGATCGAGAGGAGAGCGAACGCCGGTATGTGTTCGCTCACCTCCCGATCTACTCAGCCGACCTGTGACAGTCTCATTGTCACAGGTCGGCTAGAACTATGAGGTGAGTGAAAAGCACTCACCTCATAGTTCTCCTTTAAGCTTTAGTTCTGGGAAGGTACCCTAATATCATAGCAGGTATGAATGCATGTTTTTATTTGAAAAGTGTCAAATATATTTACTTGCAGATGGCCAAATATGGTCAAAATGCATACATATTTACTTATTTACCTGCCAAAGTATTTGTAATTTAGTACAGTCTATCATGTGATAGGCAGGTGCCACAAAAGTTTCCTGGATAAGCAATCCCACTTCTTAAAGGGTACAGGGGATGATTGCTGCCCTGGGCCACGACAAATACATCTTGGGCTGGTGGACCTGAATTGAAATATTCCCTCATTTAGTCCTCAATTAGAGCAAGACCCACAACCAGTGATAGCTACTAGATGCTATATAACTATCTGCTTCATGTTCAGACCTGCAATCACAGAGCCTGGCAGAGGGAAGTCTTCCAACATCAACCTTGCAGCTTTGAGATGTTATGAGATTGAATGCAGAGAGCTGCAAAGAAAGTGAATACCTGAAGCATTCCAAGCTGGGAAATGTGCTGTTCTAATATGTTAAAAAAAAGTTGAATGATGAGGATTATTTTGTGATAATGACATAATTTTACAGTCAGCATTTATCTTTTTCAGCTCTTTAAGTACTTTACTACAATTCATCCCTTACAATCCCCCTATTCGGGTCACTGCAGCATACTTTCTTTAGCCCACAGGAAACAGTTTCTATGATGTCAGATGCTTGTGCATGCCTTTAAGACCAAAAATGTCCTGTCCAAACCTATCTTCTTGTGTCACCCTTCACATGCAGCTTGGTAGCTGGTCAATGAATTGGCACCATCACCTCTGTCCAATCAGCAGGGAGGTGATTGGGGAGCAGCAATTCTGCACCAGGAGTGATCTTACTGACTCTACAGTATGGCAGATGTGTAAATCACAGGACTGTAAAGAACTACAAATCCTTGGAAAGGTAAAACAAACATATATATTGCAACTGTGTATTTAGCTAAATGCTCGAAGTTCCACCAACTAGTCGGGTAATAGATGGAAAAGGCATACATTTTATAATAATGTATTATTGCTTTAGAAATTGAGATAAACTAATCCAAGTGAAGTGTGGCTGAGTTTATAGGTTAGAATTTCATTTTTTTCCTGCACAAAACATCAATAATTTGTTTTTCATTTACAGATATATGAATTGCACTGAGTTCCTAGCTATAAAGTTGTTACTAAGTCACCGTTGTGTTTACATGTGTTTGTATAACTATGGCATTACACTCTATACCTACTTACAGTATATAACCATCCAAAGTGCTACCAGAAGATATATAAGAGCATTAGTCACAGCACTGCCTGTTGGATGTGATAAGATTACATATTCTGCTGACCTTAAAACCAAGGTTAGTGTTAAATAATAATGAAAAACATCATAAAAATTACGTTTGGAAATGGTGATAACAAGTCTTTAAACCAAATTCTTCCCCTAAAGAATGGAGCAGGTTTGATTCATCCCGCCAATTTCATTTTCCATATTTTGCTACTGAGAATACACAAAGTGGCCTCATAATAAACTCTCCATAGGATTATATGGAGAATGCACTCTACAGATAGAAAACAGGAGGTTCAGCTTACAGCAGAATTGGGCACAGGGAAAGTCTCCCCACTGGGGTGATGAAGAAATATGAAGCTGTGACAGCTGTGGAGCAAACTAACTCCACCGAATACATATAAAAACAAAACAGGTTTTACATTGCATTTCACTTTCAATAGCATAGCCAGGCAATGTTGCAATACAGAAATAGATCAGAACTCTGTCATTACATCACAAAAATGCAAAATTTAAATAACCTGATTTAAAGGACAAGTTCACAAATAATAATGGCTGCCCACCCCCCCTTCGCCCGCATCCTAAACTACACTAAGCTTACCCCCCCTTCCCCAAAGTACATACTTACCTATTCAAGCAGTAGCCTCCTGCTTTGCTTACATCCCGAGATTAAAATGTAGCACTGAGCTAGATTGTGCACTTATGTAGTAGTGTTCTATAGAATTGAATGGGAAGATAATCCATTAGGTAAGTCCCATTGACAACTATTGCACATTATTGCACAGACACAGGCCTGGCACTAGAAATTACTGGCGGGTACGTAAGCAACAGGGAAGGCTACCAACATCATAGGGGGTTAGTAAGCACCTGGGGAAGGTGGTGTGTAAGGTTCAGCTTGGTGCAGTTTAGGGGGCTAGAGAAAGGGTCTGGGTAGTTTAAATAATTTGTGAACGTGTTCTTTAAGCTAATATATGTTTTTTTTAAAATAATTGTTACTAAGAAATGACTACACGTGCCTAATGGGAACCTTTCAACCATTTTAAAATTTAAAATTGTAAAAAGTTCTGCCTGAGAGCCGGTACCAAAAGCTATTATTTTATTAGCCAGAAATCCTCCTCTCTGTGCCTCCCTGAACTAGTTTTACTTTGTTACTGGATGTCAGTTTAGTAAGAGTTAGACCAAATAGCCAAAGAAATCAAGTTCTCAATTAAAGAGTGAAACTAAATCACAGAGATGCACAGATGAGGGTAAGGAAAAGTTAGACGTTCAGGTGCTTGCTTTCAAATTCCTTTCAAAATATATTGTTGGCGGTTTCTTTAAGTGAACTTTACCTGGTCTTAACAATAGAGTGGGGAAAGATTTGAAGTCCTGCCTGTCCTCCTTTCCAGGGCTGTTTGGTAGGTTTCTGCTCATTTTCTGTCTTGTGATAACGGTTTCAGCAGACAGGAAGTTAGGGAAAATCTCTAACAGCAATAAAGACTGAAATGTTTTTTTTTAGTTTTTTTTTAAGTACAGTAGGGGAAGGCTGAAACCCCCATCAGCTTATTTCTGTTTCTTGATGCCGACTTTTCTTTCCTTCCTGCCTGGTAAAACCATTGTCAGTCTGACAGTGAAAGTGAGAGGAAATCTCTACCTGCACAGCAGTAAAAAAGGGTTCTAATCCTTTCCCTTTCTATCCAAATCTCAAAAAAAAAAGAAGCGTTTTGTCTGGGCTAACAATTTATATTTCATCTTATCAATTCATGGTAAATGAGCCATGCACTGTTAATAACTAACCCAATATCATAGGTTTTATGAATTCAGCCGGATGAAACCAGATCATCGATTGGTCATTACTACACCCTATTGCTCTCAGTATCATAAATAAACCTCTGCGTGATTTACTTCTTATTTCTATGCATATATGGAAAGCTTTTTAAAGACATTACAATCAAATGGATTATCAAGCATGAACAATTAAATAACTATAAAAGTAATTCCATTCATTGAGGGGGGAGGGGGCAGGGGGGGGTTTATGGTAGAGTTTCCCAAATGGTTTTTTGGTCAGATTTCTTTTTTAGCCTTAGAAACCCAACTTGGTCCTAGTGTTCTGGAGATGCATGTTCTAGTCAGGGAATTGAGCCAAGGGGCTGTGTCCTTTCCAGTTTATAATGAAAGTGGAAAATCCCTTCAAGGGAAAGGCCAACTGATATGTTGAAGGTAAAGTGCGTAACTTTCCTGTTCCCTGCCTAGCAGTGGTATCGGGTTGTAATTGGATATTGGATTGTAGTGGATGATAGAAATTGACTGGGTAGGAGTTTTCTGAGTAAATTGGAACTTCTACATTCCCAGTATCGGTCCCTTAATGTGATGTTTTGGTTTTCCTTATTTTTAAAAGGCACTTTTGTCATTGCAAAACAGAAAGAAAATTGGCAGCATATGTGTATGGTTATGGCATTGTACAATGGTTCCCCAAGTGGTGGCTTTGGTTAGATGCAAGTCGTTCATCTAACTTAACACGGTGCAGATATGTATCTCAACTCAGCTGGAGTCATAGCCAGTGCCTTTTAATATTATTTAGTTTTGCCTTTATCACTGCCAAGTTGGCTCCCAGAGAAAATAGTTTGTCATGGTTCAACACACAGATTGCATGGCTTGATCAGATTATTCCTACTCGTGGCTCTTCTGCTTTCGCAGAGCTCTGGGTATGGTCTTGCCCTTCAGGAATAAGTTTTTATAGAAGCCGTCACTGATGATATGAGGTAAATATAGTCCAATAAAGTAAAGGAGCCACAACCGCTTGCCAGCATAATATTTCACTTTAGGGTTCTCAGATAAGATGGCATCAGTTATACTGTCCATCACAGGGCTGAGGTCAGTGGACGCTGTCTTCCCATATTCCAAAAAGAGGTTTTGGGTTTCAGAGATATATTCCTCACCATACTCTTGAAGAAGTTCACTAGGTAGATTGGATAGCAGTTTCTTGTGCTGATTCTCCCAATGGTTTTTGTCATCATGTGCCCCTGGAGGCAAACACAAACAAAGTCACACAAAAGTTAACAAATGTGTAAAAGAATTTTAAAGTTATAGATAAATGACAGCAGAACTCCCACCAAAAACCAGATAAAAAATCATAGGCCAAATGTAAAATGTCAACACCAGCTTTGGCTGCAATATTCACCAAAGAGTTCCCCTGCATCATTGTCAGCATCATTCAACCCACTTGTGGTTGTCCTGAGCCTGCCCCAGCCTGTGACTGGACAGTGAAATGAGAAGCAGCACAGTGATGAGCTCATCTCTCTGTCACTTTGCTTTCTCTTCCTAACAGCAAGTTTCTTTTCTACACATGAATTGACTGGCAACTTGTGCTGCTTCTTCCTCTCACACTCCAGCCCGCTGTATAGGAACTGCAAAAGGGTGATATCAGGTACTTAGCATGCTTACTTGATGTACTAATCATTACAGACCCGCATTCATTTATGCCTTTTATATCTGCCTTGAGTTCAGCTTTAAGGTGACACTAAACTCAGGAGTTAAACCTTAAATCATTATAGTCCCCTATTAACAAAAATGTATCTTATTTGTGTATTACTCGGCTGTATATCCTCAAATCATCTCTGAATTGGTGCTGACACTGTCTTTCCTTCTGGAGGGTGACTACTTTTGTTCCCCATGGTCCCTGTGTGTGTTGTAAAGTAGCCACCTCACCAAGTTCACCAAGCTCACTCCCGTGATGGAATACAATGTCAGGTTTAGTTTACTAATTTGTATTGAGATTGTAGTCCATCTCATGTTGTGTTCATAAAATGCTGGACATCCTGGTTAGGTCAATTGAATACATATAATTTGTTCAAACTGAAACTTAAGTCATTTTCAATACAGCAAACATTGTGATATTTCAAAATAAATGGATATTGTGTTAAGCTTAAATGATGCCCTCATATACATTACATATCTGACCGATTCTAAAATAAGTGTTTTAGAATAATAATAAGCTCTTACTACTAGTAAACAGTGATAATATTAGAGAAAGCATAATGACAATAAAGAGGTATATCAGATGATTTTTCTGATAAAAGAAAAAGCTTAAGGACGGGCAATTGTCTGCTGGATGGTAACAATAATTTGACATTAATTGTGTGACTCATAATAAAAAACTTTGGTCAGAACAAACCCAATTTTAAATAACCAGGTCTAATTAATGAAAGCTAGATGGAAAGGGGACATTTCACCTTATTCTACTATGTCTAGGCCTCTTTGATCCCTTGTGGTCTACTAGACCAATTATGCTGCCTGGACACTGTGCGGGTTGCTTGTTTTGGATGTTAAGCAGATATTTAAGGTTATCTGACTACAGTAATGACCCTCTTGAGATGTGTGCAGAATTGTCGTTCAACAAACAGTTTAGGTCTGAAGCTATGGAATGACTGCAGAGGATCCCAATTGGAGAAAACCCCCAAATGATGGTCATATAATAACACTGCATTTCCCACTCTATGTTCCTCTGGTCAATCCAAACAACAAATTGGAAGATGGTTGTCTTAGAGGATGGAATTACACTAGAGCTTCAGCCGGCATTCCTAAAATGTATCTTCATGGTTTGCCCTATTTTTTAAGATAGAGTATGGAAGGGTAATCAAAGTGTCACTTTTTTCAACCTCTTTATTTGTCCAAATGAATAGAGGGGACATCTTCCAATGCGGACACTTGTTGCAGGGACTATTTTCTAAATGAGGGTTTCCCTAACTTTGGAGAGAATTCCTGCCACTTCCTGTATGTAGGACAGAAAGGAAATCTTCCCAATGGGGCACATTTGGCAAAAAAATAATAAAAAAGAGCTGACAAGGGTTTCAATCATTTTCTGCCCTTTCCAAAACATAACAAAAATCTGGCTTTAGATATATTTCAACAAAACACAGGAATTATGTGATAGATTAACTAGCATATGTTAAAGTGACATTAAACCCTCAGATTTTTTAGCATAAAACAATACTGTAATGTGTGCCTAGCTGTAATCCTTGGTTGTTTCCCTTCTCTTTGCTGCTCTTCCTTTTAAATATGTAACTCTTCTCATGCTGGGCAGAACTTCTGTTTTGCAGCAGACTGCCTTGTCTCTGGAATGGTTACATGGTGTCTGTCTGTAGGTTTGCAACCTGAGCCAGCACTACAGGAAGAGGCACTGAGCTGCAAAGGGAAGTTCTCCCCAAGCATGAGAAGACATGAGGATTTAAAAGGAAGAGCAGCAAAGAGAAAGGAAACTACCATGGATTACAGTAAGGCGCACATTACAGTATTGGTTTATGTTAAAAAATCTGAGGGTTTAATGTCACTTTAAGTAAAATTATGGCTATTGGCTGTTCTACACTTTAGCTTAGTATATTTGTCATTAGGTCATATTACAGGCTCAGTATAGAGCTGCTTTAAGCTACATACAAAGCTGGATATAAAGCTGCATGGTCTAGAGGATATGAAATAGTTTGATATTTATGACCTGGAGCAAGTATGATGATCAGGAATCCTAACTTTACTACGACTTTATAACCGGCATGTCTGTTCCAGGTAAGTTTTCAGGTGGTGGGGGTCCTCTCCGCACACCTTACAGCAGTCCTGGCCAAATAAGAACGGTGGTGCTCGCAATGACAATCAACAGAGCCGACGTTTCGGGGCCGCACAGGGTCCCTTCTTCAAGGCAGTAAAATTGTCACAATTTTACTGCCTTAAAGAAGGGACCCTGTGCGGCCCCGAAACGTCGGCTCTGTTGATTGTAGTGACACAATTGTCCATTAAAAAAGGACATATTTCTTCTAAATGAGTGCTGGTGACCTGTTTCTTTTACTTTGTTCCAGGTAAGTGACTCAAACTATTCAATCCAGAGATAGTCAGGCAACTAGTAATTTAGGGGCAGGTCAGTTATGGAAGCCTCTATATTTCTTTCATTGCAGGTTTCTTTTACATTTAGCCTGTCTGATTATAATATCAGTGTTCTTGTAATGCATAGAGCCAATGATAAACAAAGTTGCCAATTTTGCGCTTGGTTCAAGGAAGCAAAATTTACAGCTTCTGGCAAACTGATATGAAGTATGTGGAAGAGGTTATGAAATCCAAGTTGTTACAAACCAGTTTTATAGGATGCTGGCTGAATCACGCTGACTTTAACTCCCCAAGGCGACAGCTCATGGCGAAATGTGTCCATTACTCGGCTCAGAGCAGCTTTGGAGGATCCGTATGCAGCCAAGAATGGAAATGAGTGCTCACCTGTCAAAAAAAAGATCATGTTACATTTAACAAATGGTATCCACTGGCACTCTGCCTAGTGTATAGCAGGTGAATAAATATATATGGCCTATCTCCAGCAACATCCTAACCCAACCCTTCTTATTTCCTTTGTCTACACTATAATGTAGTCAACACTACAAACTAACAGTGTACCCTGACATAATGTCCACCATGTCTACCATCGCTCTATATTCCAAATGTATATCCCAAGTAACTACCATAGAGGGTGCTTCTCCCACCCTACGCAAACCCTAACTGACTCCCCCATACTATCCCAACACCCTGTTCTCTATCTCCCCTCTTTACCATACTTCCATACCACTTTTCCTCCTAGCCTTCTGGTTAAATGTTTATTCCGGGGGGCGTGTCCTGGACATGGCGGAGTGAGGCAGCACTCGACGGGAGCTCCGTGTTGATTGCCCGGGACGGTTGACTAGTCATCTATACAAGCAGACTTTAACCCACTTTAACGGTGGATCCCATGCTCGGTTCGGGTAGGGGACCCCGTCAGACGGATCTCTTAGACTTATTCGCCTGTGCAGGAGCGGAAGCCGCGACAAGGTCGGAGTCCAACATGGCGACCACCCGCTCGGCGGCCTCGTGTGCGGCCTCGAATAGGCCAACCGCAGCTTAAGGTAGTCCATATATATATCCATCTGTTACTATGACCCTGAATTGTATTATTGTATTCTTGTTTGTTACCGTGTGGTCTGCATGGCTTTGTTCGCCTGCAGGTGCAGTAATGTTTATGATGTACTGATCTGCCAATGATATGTACCCAAATGTTTGTTTGACTATATGCTAATAAACGCATCATTTAAAAAAAAAATGTTGATTCCATCATTCTTTACTCCTTCAGTATCTTATACAATACCATTCCAAGAAACTAACACCAGTATTCTGCAAGCTTCACATTCCAATTCATATATTCCACAACCCACCTGAAAGTTTCTCTTTTGTTACTTCCATTCTTTTTAACTACTCTAGAATACACTACCCAAATGACTTCAAGTCTTCTCCAGTGAAGTTTTAAGCATAACCATCTGTTACTACACTCATTTAAAACTAATATGTCAAATATATTTCATGGTTCAGCCATGCCAAGATGCTAAATGTGAAAAATTAGTTAATTGTTCTAAGCAACTCTGCTGCTCGAAGAATGTATGAAGTGTACCTACTGTTTACACTCTAAGCAATATAACAATGAAAGTAGTCCTAAATGATCTTTTATACTTTATCGTCTACAAAAACTTCAATAAACATTATTGAAAAAGAAAAAATATATACAGCCTAAAAAATAAAGGTTGGATTAAATGAGAGCAGGTTTTGCATCCATTTACATTTTACAGATTATCCAACCGGATCCTAGCTATCATTTTTCCTTATCAGGTTCAAAAGAAACCATCTGACTCTGGTTGCTCTGGACAAAACACTTGTTCATGTTCATACACAAGACCCACTGCAGATTCAAATGTACACTATAAATCCAGTCCACTAGGCTACAAAGGCATTAAAGTAAGTGTTTTTTCCATTTCAATTCATCTTGCTTAAAAATATTAATCTGCCTCCTTTATACAAGTGTTTGTGTTATAACAGGATAATGAAACCAAGTAATGCTTATCAGTGTTGTTGTGCACCCAGGGCCATTTATGGGTACTCATATATTATTTGGTAACAGAAAACATGTACTTCTCACTCAACACACATTCATGAGACCAGCTGCACAGCCTGGAAACCATGACATTGTTGGTCTGAACGCATTGATTTGGGGAAAAACATGAGAACTTCTAGGATTTTTCTAGATGAATGGTTCCTAAAATGTGATGAAATCTGTATCCATTTCATGGTAGACAAGGTAGTCTTATTTTAAATGAACTTTTAAATTACTATACCTTTATTGAATAAATCATTTAAATAGTTAATGTTGCTAAAAAGTTTGATTTTCAAACGTGGCCATACACCTTACAACCATTGCACGACTTTCATTGTGCGATGGTTGTAAGGTAATTAAAATCTCGTACCATCTGCCCATCTCGGACAGGCAGATCGTACTTGCAATCATCGCAAGCCCTCCCCGCCGAGGTGAGGGCTTCCGATGATTCCAAAGCTGAGCGGGCAGTGTGCGCTTGCGCACACCGGCCCGTTCGGCATTTGTCTTCCGAGCACACCACTAACCCGCCGTACGTGCCAAAAGACGTGCCAAAAGACGTGCGACCGTAAAGTAGAAACGGTCACACGCCTTCCATACACCTGCCGATTATCGTACAATTAATGTTGCATTAATCGTACGATAATCGGCAGGTGTATGGGCACCTTAAGATGATGACACCTTCAAAGTAGGATCAGTGTGACAGGTTTCCCAGCCACGGATTAGGTGTTATAGTCAGTTCAGGTGTGGGTTTGATCTGCATGGTCATATATATAAAAGTCAAATGTTTTGTTTATCTACTTTTCACAACTGAATTCTGGCCAGTTTTTAGTCTTTGTGTCTGTAACTTAAAGTGCACCTGTTCCCAGCCTATGGACAAGTAAGTATATACATATCATTAACAAGCAGTAAAAAAGCTTTACAGGGTAATGAATCATTGAAAATATTTTTTCCAAAAGGTTCCCTGTCCTTTCTGCCATCCACCACTGAATTGATTTAAGTCGCCTCCAACCCCACCCTTCTTCCCACCCACCTCCCCTAAGCTCCATACTTGCCTAGTTCTGGTACTCTGCCCAGCTGCCATGTTTACCTTTAGCTGGTCTTCTTTCCCCTGTCGCCTGCTACAATTACTGATTTTTAATATGAAGTGACTAGGGAGTTGTACTGCGATGGTACCTACCAGCTGGGCTGCTGACAGTCACAATTCGTCCCTTAGAACTGCGTAGCATAGGTAACAAAGCTTTAGTGATCTCCAGTGTCCCAAAAAAATTTACTTCCATGCAGCCTCTGTAGGTGGACATGAGTGACAGCTCAGCATCTCCAAAGTGAGCGCAATATCCAGCATTGTTGACCAGCGCCCACAGCCCTATACACAAAAGAAAAAAAAAGACACTTTAAAACATTTCAACCATGCAGGACAGAATAGCTTGAAGAAAACATGTCTAGCTCTGCACTGCATCTCCTTTCCCTTCCTGAAAGCACCTTAAAATTATAAAAATTGCTGACAGAGTACCATAGAAAGCAATTGAAAGGATGCTTCTAAAGTTATAGTGCTGGAACTTAATAACGAGATTTTTCCAAGAAAAAAAATTCAGAAATTTTATATATATATCAAGATATATATATAAATATATCTATATCTAGATATATATATATATACTATAAAGTGAACCTTTCCAGAGAAAAATATGGGGGCTGCCAATACTTATCTCCATCTGAAAAATGCAAGTTGCCTGGCCATTATGATAATCCTATAGCTTCAAAAATGTCTAAGTCACTGACTGGAAACAAGTATGCAGATCTCAAAAGTCAAAGGCCCTCATCTGCATAGGTGGGTTATAATTCTATGTCAAGTTAAAATGAGCCTGTCGCAAAATTTAAATCTGGAACTGATATTTTACTTACCTCTCCTGTTGTCCACACCATTGATCTTCACTGTCTTTAAGAGTTATAGTGCACTGCCATCTGACACACTTTCTGAAGAGTCGAATCAATGGACCCCTGATGCTGTGGTTCCTTTGACCTAGTTCCTCCATAGTGTGTCGAATGAAGGGAATCCTCAAGACGCCAAAGACAGCCAAGATGAGCGGCTCAGGATAGGGAAGTCTTTTCTGTACAGGGGAATATTTTGTTCCACTATTTACTTTGTGACAGGGTCAATTTAACAGCTGGGCCACAAGCATTTGCTTGATGAGCAGTCAGTAATGGCAGCCACTAGGTTTCACCCAAGTAAAGTTTACTTTAAGCATGTAATTTATTGCTATATTTAAGTCAAAGTTCAAATTTAAATGGCAAAATTCTAAAACACTTTACCCGATAAACAGATTTGGTGGACAATAAGCTGCAAATGTCAACACACCGTAAATAAACCATAGAAATAGGTCTCCTTCTGGGAGACCTAATTTTTAGATTTTATTTAAGAACAATAAGCACAGATGAAATCAATCACAGTATCTGATCATACACTAATTACACTCACTTTTTATGAACCTCTACCGTGAGAAAGTCGGTGGAAATGAAAATTGAAAGATGATAGCTAGGCTATAAAAGGGGAAAAAAGCAAAAAAAAAGCACAAGACGGCCCTCATGTTGAGCAGTGGTTGAGATTCTCGGTGCATTTATGTTCTGTTAGGGGGTTGATACCAGCACTTCTGACATTTTGGTAAATCTCCCTGTGAAGGCCAATCCTTCACTCTTCTTTAGAGGCGAAAAATGGACACACACGCAAGGGTCATGGCAAGTCATGATGTTCAGTAGAAAAGTGCAAGGTGTCTCCATGTCTGTCTTTTTCAAAGAGATGTTTGCATGTCTATTGCCAAATGTACACAAAAAAGGCGTTATATAGGAAATTAGGCCTCAAATAAAACTAAAGTAGATGTCGTATAGTTCAACGTATAGTTGAAGTATACGCATTCAAACATATGGAACAGTGCAGCTAGAAAATGCCTCTAAGCATTGTTTATATTGCTTTTTTTCCATGTTCATATGTCTGCCGATACATTGATCCGTCTTCTTCCTCTCTTGGTGGGATCTACTGGCGTTCCCACATAAACCACACTTTTGTGTAGGATGTAATTGCTATAACTCTGGAGGTAGTGTTGACAAGCCGACAATACCTCTAGGGTGGTGAACATCCGGTTGATGATGCCAATGCTGACAGGACTAAGGAAAGATGGATCGAAGGGACAACAAGGCTGCTGCAAATTAGTTGGTGCTGTATTATCATTATTGGCCCTCCAAAGGAAATAAAGTATTCACACAAGCTCTGACAGGATCAACAGTTACAAATCTGTTCAATCTGAACAAAAAGGGAACTTTAATAAAACATTATTTTGGCCTGAATACTAAAAGAGGAATATATACTTGGGAGTATTTTTGGTTTTAGGTTGAGTACCACTCTAAGTATGATGATGGTTTCGGCAGATGATTTGACACAATTAACAGAATGGAACCTTTGTACTGAAAACCAATAATTGTCCATGATTGCTTTACATACACCTGCATATTTGTTCAGTGCAGGAGTTGAATTTAAGCATTGTGCGTGAGGATAGATGCATATGTGCATACAGGTGCTATTGTAAGACTTTAAGACCTGCCCAATTGACATCTAAATAGATATTAATCACACCCTGGAGTAGTCACAAATAAATGTTACATAAAGGCATACAATGGATTAGATTAGACTGCCCTTTACAAATTCACAACCATAACAAAAGAATTGTTTTGATCTGTGTTAGCCGAGAGAATCTTGAATATTATATATAAATATTTTGGAAGGTAAATTGTGTAAGAAAATCAGAACAACAATACAATTTCAAACCGATTGTTTAATTGCTAGCATGCATTGTAGTATGCAAACAACTGTAACAGAGGTTAATGAATGAACGGATTGATAAAAAAATGTTGATCAAGACACATTTTTTTCTACATTTTTTCTAATTTCATCACTTGTATACCTGACCATTGCATTATAACAAACCATCTTTCTGTAAACTGTAAATATGTTAACAGGAAACTGTTTTTTTTGTAATAAATATGGAAACTGGTATGGGAGCAGTAAAACAGAGAAAATAATAAAACAGTAATACAGTCATCCCATTGTCAGTGAAAAGTTGCAAATATTCAAGATGACAACATTTATAGACTAATTCAATAAATACCTATAGGAGCCAAAACTTTCCCCTCCCTTCAATCAGCTTTCTATTGTCTTTACTGTCCTTGAATATGCTAAGAATCTTGGATACACTAACAAATGAAAGGTTATCTACGGTTGTAAAGTCTGGTTTAATAACCAGTCAGTCTAACATGTAAACAACAAAAGCATAGAGAGTTGAAAATATAATCAGGTGCTGTCTTTATTAATGATTAAAGACAGCGTGTCCTCATAGGGGTTACTTTTCCCAGTATGAAGAACAGGGTTAGACTCTAGATAAAAATCTATGGCACTATGTTTGGCATTTAAACATTAAACTGTTTGACAAAACAAAGTGAATCATAATGGAAGAAGATACGAAAGATCGTTACTCCTCAGTAGTAGCCTTTGATCTGTAAATTCTATAATCTGTTATAGTAACTGGAATAACTGACAGTGGTCTACATTTATCAGTATCTGAAATGAGCAATATTTGTAGTAAAGTGACATTAAAGTCTAAATTCCCCCCCAAAGCTGCTTTAAGGACTTACCTTAAATGATGCCATATGATCCGATCCTCTTCTTCTTTCCTGTAGATTTCAGGTGTCCCTCCAGCACTGGTGCCGGTCTCTGATCCAGCACTGACTGCTGTGTCCCCTGTGTCTGTGTGGGTGCACGCTGCCGGGCTGCCTGCATTGACTTACCCTGTGTCTCTCCTCTTCTCCCGGCCAAAGATCTCTACTGCGCATGCGCCCGCCCCATGATGCTTTGCGGCCGCCTGAGAATCTTCAGATCTTCGGAGGGAAGAGCATGGCGGAGACACAGGTAAGTTTTAACCTTTTTGGTAACTTTTTTTTCTAATGTTTTTGCATATACTGTATCTACTGCTTGCTAGCAGTAGATATATGCAAAAAAACTTGAGGGTTTAATTGTACTTTAACTAGTCTTACAGAGAACCTTCCACGATAACCTACAAAGACATCTTAAAAATTAAGTGGTTAAAGCTGGTCATACACCTATAGATTTTCTGCAGATTTTCTATGGTCAGATGGAAAAAGTGCAACAATCCATCTATGCTAAACTGTGTGGATGGAGGAATCTCCCGCTGGGCCAAGCTTCAGTATCTTGCTAGTCGGCTCCGCTGACTGTCAAAATACCGGAAAAATCTGATTGGATGCAGGTATTGTTCAGGTGTTTTGGGAGCCAGCAGTGCCGACTAGCAAGGTACTAAAGCTTGGCCCGGCGTGAGATTCCTCCTTCCACACAGTTTAGCATAGATGGAGAAATCTGTTGCACTTATTCCATCTGACCATAGAAAATCTGCAAAAAATCTATAGGTGTATGGCCAGCTTTAGGAAAAAAAAATACTTAACTTGGTCCTGGCTCCCAGTGCCACCAGGAGACTTGAGTGACACCAGCATGACTCACTGCTGGCTCCTGGGAAACCTGGGAGACCTTCGGGAATGAACTGCAGTCCTGCAATGCACTAGAGTTCATTTCTGAGTGGCGAAGCTTCATAAGCCGGGGCCGAGGTAAGTATTTACTTTTTTTAAACAGCTGTATTTTTAACAACCTTTGTAGGCTATCAGTAGAGTCAAGCTTTTATTTCCATGGAAGGTTCACTTTGAAGAGACAACGTCACTTAAAAAAAAGAACTGCTAGCATGAATAAAGTGCACCTGCAGCCGCTCTCATTCCCCTCTGCTACAGCTGTTTTGATCAGGCAAAGTTTCTGAATATCTGGGTAGTATGATTTGTTGTCTGCTTCCCTAGTTTCAGTCTGGAACTGCTCAACACAGATCAAGTCATTAATGTACTTCAGGAAATAAGCTATTAACATATTTTAGGAGTTTTCTTTAAACACTGACTGAAGGTTTCTGAATGATTGCTGAAGCCTGGTGATAGCTTGTTCAAAGTGACAGCCAGCTATTCCTTTGGAACCCATGTTTAGTACCATCAGAAGTAAATGGGTGCTTTTTGATGCTTCACAACAGTTGCTCATAACTTACCAAAAGCTTTGTAAATTCTTGCTGTACACATTGCTCTTCAGAGTAGCAAGTACAAGATGAAGCTAGATCAAAAATTATAACTATAATACGTATAGAAGGTTTGGTGTTTAAGTAATTCCCTTTATTGGCTTACTTAACTTATTAAAGATGCAAGCTTTCAGAATTCCCTAATAATGTTCAATCATTTAGGTTAGCCAATAAAGGGCATCACTTAAGCTCTGAACTCTCTGCACTAAATGAAAGCTTTATACTCTCTGTACTAATCGAAAGTACAATACTCTACTACTGCGGTGATAAGTACAGTAACTTTATGTTAATCTTTCGATGATTATTTATGCACCAGTAAGGGGTGCAAGTACTGTGTCTGATATTAGGATGGATTCACATACCAGTTTCATGTGTCTGCTCCTTTGCCACTTGCTGGGCTCTCTTGATGTCCTCAGGTTTCGTCAGATCCACTTGAATGATAGTTAGGCGGTCTGAACACCTCTTCTGGAGATCCTTGGCCCCTGAGCTGTTAAGATCCAGCACAGTGGCAATCACCTTGAAGCCCATCTCATCCATTCTCTGAGCAGAGGCCTTTCCAAATCCAGAATCGCATCCTGAAAGGAAATGAAAATAGTTTTTAGGAAAATTTGTGGTACTTTCTATGAACATGACACCAAGTAGATATTGCCTGCCTTTTATGTTTCAATTAAAGAGACTCTGTCACTACTTCTATAACTTCTATATTTTTTTTCTGCTGTGGAAAAGGCAAGAATCATACTCATCAGTATCCCTGCTGGTGAATCAAACTTTGCAGAGTTACAGGTGCCACTAGAATCTTCTCAATTCAACGCTTGAGGAGCTTACGTCTAACTGCTACTTGCTAAATCACTAGCATGGTCCTGTGGTCCTTTATGGCATCCATAGCAACATGGTCACCTTAACATAGCTTGAAGCTGGTCATAAACTGCTTGAATTTCTCCCGAATCCTGCTGAATTCGAGCTGGGTATGATCCTGCTGGCTGGGCTGGTTGGGAAATTGATGGCCGAACAGTGACTGAAGCCAATCAGCTGCGGGCACTGGGTATTTTGACAGCAGGCTTTCAGAATATGATAGCCTGGCAGAGGAGATTCATCCATCAGCTGCAGGCTGAGCTAAAGAAATCTATAAATGTATGGTCAGCTTAAGCTTAGTCCTCTATCTTGTGTTTAATTGTGAATGTTGTATCACTTCTGTTAAGTTGTAAATTCTTTAATAAAGGAGTTATTGTCATACTGCAATCCACTGCCTGTCCTTGCATCACAATCTCTAAACATACTGGAAAACCTGAAATAATCTAAATTATAATGCAATGTATGGGTAACCAATATTCTGAGTTGGTGCCAAAACCAACCACTGCGCTACTGCTTTATATGCCTTGAAACAGAGCCGTAGCTAGCTCCATTGGCGCCCAAGGCAAGAACAGAAAATTGTGCCCCCCCCAACAGATGTGTGATGTCACCCAACGCTGCGCATGAACAGGAAGTGATGTAAAGCACTTCTGGTTTATTCATAACTGGGGACACCTAGTACTATGTGTCCCCAGTTATTTACAAACACTGGAGTGATCAGCTATTACTTCAGTGTTTGCTCTGCACAGAGGATTGGTAAATATCACTGATATTTACTGATCCTCCCGCTCTCCAGGATGTCACTTCAGGATGGCCGAGCGGTGAGGAGAGAGCCGCCGGTTGAAGCGCTCCATTACTCATCGGATCCCTACTGCCTCTGCCCATACAAACGGGTGAGAGCAGCGGGGATCCAAGGAGAAGCTGGAGCCTGTGCCGCCCCTCTTCTCCCTGCCGAGCTGCCAAAAAGATGCGCCGCGGTGGTGTGTTCTAAAAAAAGCACTGCATGAAGTACTTTTTTTTTTCAGCACAGCATTGTACAAACCAACACACTACCCTTTGCTGTGTTCAACAGAATTAAATGAAATGCCACTTAGGGAAAAAAAGGTTACAGTGTGATGCATCGGCACTGAAACCTTCACAGTGCACACCAGCTGCTGTTGTGAATGAGCCATTTCTGCAACAGACAAATATGGCTGCATAGACACACATTGTACATAAAAGCAAAGTTTGCAAATGCTTTCCATGGTGTGGTTTAGAGCAGGCCTTCTTAAACTTTCTCCACTCGTGACCCCTTTTTGTCCGAGGAAATACCAATGTAAAAAAACAAAAAAAACCTTCCTGCGCACATGTGCTCAGGAAGGTACCAATTTAAGAAGCACTGGTTTAGAGAAAGTGCAGTTATTCTTTTTGTCCCCCTTTCCTGACCCACCCCCACCCTCCGCAGACCTATACTTGCTGAGATATGAGGGCTACAGCTGTGCTGTTTGTTGACAGTCAGTGCTGCAATTCTCTCTCTCCTGGCCACGTCCGTCTCCCTAATGGGAGTTGGCCCCACAAAATTCTATGGGGCTGTAATGTGCAGGCATAGCCAGCAGAGGGAGCAGTGCAGACAGAAATGTCACTCTAAAGACATGCTGGTAGGCTAATTGGCTCCTGCTTAAAATTGGCCCTGTACTGTATGTGAGATGGGGACCTTAGATTGTAAACTCCTTGAGGGCAGGGACTGATGTGAATGTGCAACTGTGTAGAGCTAAATTCTCGGCGCTATATAAATACTTGTTATAAATAAATAAATAATACAGGAACCGTGCCCATCGGATCTTGATAAGTACAGATCCGTGGAGGGGAATGATAGGATTGTTTAGATCAAGGGTGGGGAACAGAAAGGATATGTGCACTTTGTTTTAAAATGCACCTATCCTTTAATTTCACAGTCATTACAAAATCTTTGATGCTAGTGCTAGTATTCTGTACAAAATGTCCAACAGGAAGTAAGAGAGAGGTAGTAACTGCATGTACTTTTCCATTAGTAAAACAAGTTTCATCCGTAGCTGGCACAGTCTTATACAATAGATTCACTCAGTGAACAATGAATGATTACATTAGGTGACAGGCCACATAAAGATATGTTCTATTTATTTTCGCAGAAATGCTTTTGTACATATCGAGGGTGGGGACACCGTTTTACCAGACAGGAAGTGAGGTAACTTCTGTAACAGCCAGCAATGAAAAGATTACATATTTTCTTCTGTCTGTTGTGTTGCTTTTAGAGAGATGTCCCCTCATTTCTTATCTTGGGAAACAAGCTTTTTTAAGTGAAGGCATCTCTACAGCAGAGACTCTGTTGGTAGTAAAACCTGACAGGAGTACTAATCTTTCACTGGTCTATAAAAAAACAAATCACAAAGCAATACAAAGTAATGGAGCGGAAGTTATTCTGCAACACTGGAACCAGCATACATTTATCAGAGGGTTGCTTTACAGATGGGTAGTTTTTTTTTTTTTTAACCACTCTTATTATAATATTATTTTTCCGTAAAAGAGTGTAGAAGAGATAGAACCTTTGTCAGGTTTTATTTCTGTAGATACACTGCCTGTCCAGAAAAAAGTCACATTCTAACATTTCGTTAGACCACCTTTAGCTTTGATTACAGTAGGCATTAACTGTGGTATCATTTTAATAAGCTTGTGCAATGTCACAACATTTATTTGCGTCCAGAGTTACATTTATTTTTCACCAAGATCTTGTAGTGGTGATGGGAGAGTTGGACCACTGTGTAAAGTCTTCTCCAGCACATCCCAAACATTCTCAATGGGGTTAAGGTCTAGACCAGTGGTGGCGAACCTATGGCACGCGTGCCAGGGAGGGCACGCAAGCCCCTCTCTGCTGGCACGCGAGCCCAGGTTCAGGGACCACAAATGGAAATAGATCCGACCGACCCAGATCGCCTCAGTTCGTGATCCAGGCCAGTCACAATCAGGCAGCGTCGACGGCCTCTAAACAGGCAGATTAGACAGCCGCTTCCTCCTCGCACCGGCCAATGTTATTCAATAGAGCTGTTCTAATGTACAGCTCTATGTCGCCCGTCGCTGTCGCTCCAGCAGGACCCTTTTTCCCCGCTGATGTCGCGCAATGTTTCTATTTTTGAATGCAGCCCGACAGTGAAGGTCGCTCTAACGTCGCCCCGAACAGTCGCGCTATCCCGACCCCGCTTGTAAGGTATGTCGCTTGTTGTGAATGGGGCCTAAGGAAGTGATGTTGAAAGTTTCTTAAAGCCGAGCGACCAAACTGCAATACAGTACTAAACTTATTTTCAGCGCTGGAACTTTGAGGTAAATAAATTGATTTTGCGTCGCAGTTTGGGCACTCAGGTTCAAAAAGGTTCACCATCACTGGTCTAGACCCTGTGGTTGCCAATCCATGTGTGAAAATGATGTCTCATGCTCCCTAAACCCTTCTTGCACAATATGAGCACGATGAATCCTGGCATTGTCATCTTAAAATATACCTGTGACATCAGAGAAAAAAAAAATCCATTGATGGAAAAACCTGGTCATTCAGGATATTCAGGTAGGCAGCTGACCTCATTTTTTGGGCACATAACGTTCCTAGACCTATTATGCAATGGATAATTTGCTTAGCTAACTTTTGCTTAGCTGACTTATTTGCTTAGCTAAATCCAGGTGGTGCCCTTTTTTTGGACAAGCAGTCTATAATACCAATGCGATTCAGGCATATATGAGGTAGGCTGGTATAGCTCGAAACAAAGTGCACAGAGGTCCTCAGTATTCATATTGATATGCAGCAGGCAGCTCCTTGTGACAGGCAGCACAATCTAGTATTGTACATAAACAACAATACGCAGTGCACTGGCCTCATGAAATACATAAAACTATTTACGTAAGAAAAAATGTGAATAATACTCACAAGTGCAGATGATAAATCAGCATATAAAAACCACCAGCATCATAGCATGCATTGGAAAGATGGAATAACCATGACCATAACCAGCATTCAACAGATAGCTATCGACAACTACCCTGTTTCCCTGAAAATAAGACCTACTCCGAAAATAAGACCTGGTACTATTTTTGGGAATTGCTAAAATATAAGACCTACCCCAAAAATAAGACCTACTTTTGACCATTCAATTTGATACCAATTGAATTGAATATGGTAATGATTAGCCTACCCATGGAGGTGATTTTTACATGCGGATTTATCATCTGTACTTGTTAGTATTTTCACCTTTTTTTTTTTCTCTCAATACATAGTGCAGTGTATTTCATGATGCCAGTGCTCTCTGTGTATTTGTATTGCTGTCTGTGGCTCAATTGAGTAGATTTTCCATCACTTTTTTTTTAGTATAGTGGCTAAAGGGTAAAACGAACACAATCTTCATAGTGACATTTGTGCTTCCGTACGTATTCCAGTGAGCCCCGTTCCCCTCATTACATTGTGGTTCAAGGATAAAAAAATATCTCTCCAATAGAGTTTCAGGCAGCTATAAAAACCCTGAAATAAGTTTTTTTTTAAAATTGAAAAAAGAAACCTTTTGGCTTGTGTTGGTCTTCAGATATTGGCATAGCATATATATTCCAATTAATCGATCATGTACCATCCACTAGTCCTACAGTACAGTGTTCCAATATAGAACATTTTCATTCCCAAAGAAAAACATTTGCTCTGTGAATCTCTATTAACATTCGTTCTGTGCGAATAAAG